AGATAGTGGGGCAACTAGGTAATTTCACAACCCAGACTTAATGGGTGTTTTTTGGGTGGTGGTGGAGGAGAGTTAGATGGCCATGTTTATTACTGCCGTGGTGAAATGGAGATTTAATATTGCTCCTCCTGCACTCTAGCTGCCATGCCATGCTTTTGAACTGCTTCTACCTTCTAATACTTTGGAGCAACAGCAAAATTGTTTGAAGAATTCATTTAAAAAAATACTCTGAGCATAAGCAGCTATTCAGGTTTGGCCACCATGGCTACAGCAATAGGGTGCTTGCTTTTCCCCTTGCTACTTTCTGGCTGGAAATTTCGGGGACCCAGGCCTGGAGGGCCTGGACTTTGATTCCAAGGTCAAGCTGCACCCCTGTGAATACCTACTTGGAGAGGCAATTTTTGGTGTGGGGAGTAAAAGGTTGATCCCACTCTCCTGTGGACCCAGTTCTGAAGGGGACTTTCTAGAAGCTGTTATTCATAGTTCCTAGAAAAGATACAGACCACCCCGAGTGGGTGCTTGGCATCATATAGGTTTAACCCCTGCACTAAATAACTGCAATGGAGTGATGCACACCTTGGACAAGGAGCCTTAACTACACAAAGCCAAGAGCGGGGGGACGGGGTGATGGCCTTCAAAGAGAAGCACAGTCATAAGCTAAAACAGCTAGTCAGCTGCACAACCAGTCCAATGCACAGTGAATCCAATGAATTTAATGTGGCTTGGGCTAAAACTCTCCTTATTCTAGACATACAGCTACTTTCTGGCCTTTTTACTCTACAATTGCTTCTGGGCCCCCAATCCACAGTGGGATTCTAGCATGGAGGGTGTAGACCCCTGGACTGGGGGCCTTTTGCTTACTCCAGAGTAAAGATGAAAAAAGACATAGCTGCTGAACATACATGTAAAATGAGGCCCTTTCTGGCGACAGCATATAATCATAAGGAGAGCCTTGCTTAATTGGACCAAAAATCCAACTGATCCAGCATTCTGCTTGCAAACATGGCTAGTGAGATGTTTCTGGGGACTTGAGAAGCAGGGCCCAAATTTCCTGTGCTAGTGCTAGGGCACTAGCACAGGAAATCAGTTTTATGTCTTCCTCCTGGCTATAATTATGAAGAGTTATTTTTTCACTTTTTCTTAAATAAAAAAGAGTATGCAGTTAAATACGGGTTATTTATTTAATGAAGGACTAATGGAGATATAGGCTTATGAGTTGGCAGACATTTGCTCTGGATGCACCAGACTCTACAAGAAATATGCGATAGGCCACTCATTGAGTTTGCAGGACTTTCTTTATGGAGGACCTATGGAATATCCTGCCCCTTCCCTCCCATGTCAACAGGGGCTCCCTCTCTCATCCCCTGCCCTCTCTGCCCTGGAAATGACCCCTGCTCAACCAGGGATGGCTGCTTTGAGCAAGCAGAGGAAGAAGTGCCAATGCCAGAGAGGCCAAGCTGTGTGGTGCTGTTGGGCTTGGCAGCGATTCAGAGTCATGACCATTGTGCCTGTTATTAGTACCCAGTTATCTCTCCCGCTCTGTTTTTTATTTTTGCAACATTTCTAAAATGTCAGTAATGATATAAAATTCCTAAGACTTATACACAGATGTTAGGTATGAGCTGCTAACAGGCCACATTCTCCACAAAAGCTGTTGTGGAGATGCTGTTGTGGGAAATTGGCAAGAAGCACCCAGCTTCCATGCTTATGTTGGGTTGTAGGGCACTCAGCCCACTGCTAGGTCTTGTGAATGGGTTCAGTGGACCATTTGAAACCCACCAAAATTGAGAGATGCTGGAATCAGGCATGAATTGAACCAGCACGTAGCCCATTTCCCTTTGCTCCAATTAGCAGCTGACTCTAACCCTAGTTCTGAGATCAAAGTCTAAAAGTATACATGTGCTTTATTAATCAACTGTAAGTGGAGTGCAGTCATTAAACCTATAATCACCTAAAAATGGCAGTTAGGAGAACATACTGGACCATCTATTCTAATATTGTCAACACTGAATAGCAGTAACTTCCTAGACTTTCAAGCTGGATTCTTTCCTAGCCCTACCTGGATTTGCTGAAGATTAAACCTGGAGCCTTCTACCACTGAGCTACAGGCCCTAAAGCATTCATATATGCCATTCACAGAGTTGCCTGGATGTCACAGAATGTTAATGAACAGTCTGACTTCTACTGAGGAAGGAATCCTGGAATGCTGACCACCACTGGAGATGTCCCGGCAAGATGGCAGGTCCGTTTGACTTGGATGTGTGTGTATAGGGAGTGGGGGGGACCTCACAAAGGGACTAAGAATAGGAGCAGGGGACTTGGATGGAGGGCTGATGGCAATGGAATCAAAAGAATGGAAGAGCGCAATGGAGAAAAGGAATCACACAGGACCCTGGGACTGGAGGAAGGGGCTGGTGCAGCATGGAAGGGCTGCAAGAAAAGGTGACTGAGTCTTCCCCACTGATTTACAATGACCGATCTGTTTGTAGGATGTTGGTCACTAGTAGCCAATAAATAAGCCATCTTCTATCCAGCTGGGGAACCTGCCATGCTGTTCTCTTAGAAGTAAAAAATACATCCTTCTTCTTTAAACAAGATGTGCTTGAATATAGGTTGGTTAAAGCCCTGGTACAGCTGCTGAGATGAGCACAGATACTCATTCACACCTTCAGAATTACTCCTCACAGCTGCTAGCCAAGGAGCTGGATGCAGCTGGTGGCAACCCACCTAAGCAGCTCAACTATAGCAAGGAGAAGGAGAGAAGAGGAGCAACTGCATCCGTGGGAAGAGGGACCGAAAAGAGACTGTGGGAAGAGGAAAGAGCATCTCAGTCCCACGATGCAGAAAGTGGAAGGGGAAATCATGCAAGAGGGAGGAGAAAGGGGAAAAGAAGTCACCTGGCGATCCTCCATTCATGACGAGTCAGGGGAATTACAAGAGGAAGAGAGATGTGGAATCTGGGTCTGGAAAACTAGCAATAGTGGGACGTATGGTCACAAGAGTTCCAGCTGTTTATCAAATTTCTCTGTGGGAGAAAACTTGAAATCCAAGTCATATATCTGACCTTTTCTTTTACATCCAATGATGAGGTCCAGCTAACAGGCACCTCCGAATTCTAGACCAGAGTGTGATTCAATTTATGGGGTGGGTAGAGGAGAGCTATTATTTCCTTACATTATCAGATTGGTCACCTCTCGGCAATTTGAAAGTTCCCTTAAGAATGAGGCGAGTGGGAGACACTTCCACTGCAAAGTGCTGCTGGTGGAGTTTTGAGAACATGCATTAGCTTGCTCAGACAATGCAAGGTGACAGAATTTAATGTTGTTAACTGCACATGGACCTATTCCACTCTAAAAGTAATTTCCCGCCGTTGAGCAGGAGCTTTCTGCATTTTTCAGTTGCGGGGCGTGCTGAGTCTTTAGGCTCTGTACTTGCAGCTGTCTTATGCAGAAATCTGTACTACTTCTCTGAATTATCAAAAGTCAGTTTAGGGGTGGAAATGTTCCTTTTTAAGGATTTTTTTTTTAAAACAGTGACTTAGATTCAGATTAAATCATGCTTAAAATAGACCTGTTGGAATCAATGGGTGTAGCCATGCCCTACTTGTCCATTGTATTCAATGGGACAACTCTAAGAAGCGATCCTATACATGTTTAGACCAAGAAAAGTCCTACAACTGCCACCATTACACAGAAAGCTGGGAGTTGTAAAACATTTTTTCAGTCTAAATAAGCCTTAAATATCACCCTAGACATGTATAGGATTGCACACTAAGTGTACACTGGAGGTTTATTAAATGTATTTATGCATTGGTATATATGAAGTAATTATTCACTAAACAGGTGTTTGCTGCTGCTTTCCATATTCCCCACCCCAACCCCAAAATTACAGTTATTACAGTTTTCAGTTTGTGGTTGAATATCACTTTGGGCACCTTTTTGATCAGACATTTATTTATGTGTTTTTGGTGAAATAACTATGGTTGCAAACCTGTAACAACTTTTCTTGCAGGTAAGTTTCACCGAACACAGTGGCAAATTTGCTTCTGAGTAGACATTGATAAGATGGTACTCTAAGACAGCAAATCCTACAATTGTTTGCACACCCATGCACAGACACACAATCCTTCAACTCACAATATTCTCCAGTTGTGCAAGGCTTGCTGAGGAATGCTGGAAGTTTTAGGACTGTTTTTCCATTTGGGATGCATAGGATTGCTTCTTAGAAGTGGCAAATGAATAGAATAAATGGTTTCTATCAACTGGTTGAGAAGCCATATTTTGATATATGAAAGATCAGCCTCTAAAACTGTGCTATAGAACTCTGTCCAGAAATCTATGGAAAACCTTTTGCCACTTGCAGGAAAACAAAGCTGAATGAACAACGAAAGCTCTTTGCTTTAATTAATAAATAAGGAAAATATTCCCAAGTTTCTGGAAAATCAGTCCACCAGGCTTTAGAATTGCAACTTCATGCTACTTTTTGGCTGCTCTTTAATGTCAATGGCATTCTTCTCCCACCCACCCAGTAGAACAAGCCTCAGGCCACTAATTGTTGCAACCCTAATATGTGAAGTGCCCTCACTGATGGAGCACAGAATAGTATTTGTGTTCAGTCACAAAATTACGAATGGTGATGGGGATCCATGGCACAGACAGAGTGCACCACATGGCCACCAGTTACACATAACGAATGATCATCCATGTGGCCAAAGCCACATTTGATTGCTGGCGGAATATTTATTAATGGCTTTCTTGAGTAAGATAACTCAAATAAGATAAAATAAGAAATGATCAAATGGAAAAAAATACTTCCCCCCTTTGCCTACCCTTTCTAAGTCTTCGAAACATCCAAAAGAAATTAATAATATTCAGCATGTGCTTGCAAAATCTGTGTTACAAGATTACAACCTAACCTAACACAACTGGAATAAAAGTTCCGCTCTGGAGCATATAGGACATATTATGGTACAGTACAGTATCAAGTTGTATTGGCTTCACCTTCATCCAAGATGTAGTTGAGTTTTATGACTGTGCTGATAAAGTCGCCAAGTTCTACAAAGTCTGCAGTGACAATGTTGATACCGCTTTCACCTGGTGTCTGGGTCCGGACCCATTGCATCATGGCAGGGAGAGCTCTATGGAAGGAAAAGGAGAAGGGTTACCATGAATGGAGGTGGAGGAAACAAGACCAGTTGTGACAGATGCAATTGACTTGGTCAAGAAGAAGAAGAAAGTGGCATTTGTTTTTCTAGGTGCAGAAAAGGATTTTGATAATGTGTTTTGGCCCTTTTTAATGAAAACTCTTCAGTATTTAGACTGTGGTTCAGGTTAAATGAATTGGATTCAAGCAATGTATGCTGAAAAACATGCTAAGGTTTTAATTAATGGAGTGTTAATGGATAGTTTTCCAGTGGAAACAGGAACACATCAAGGGTGTCCTTTATCACTTCTTTTGTTCCTCCTTGTATTGGAAATCTTAGCTACAAAATTAAAGCTTTAAAAGTGGATGGAGAAGAATACAAACTGAAATACTATGCTGGTGACATAATTTTGACCATTTTAAATCCACATCAATTGATAGAGTAAATAATCAAATTGAAATAAGTGGATTTTATTCATGGTTAAGATTAATAAGATTAATAAGAAAAAAAGAAAACAAGACCAATATTCTGAGGTGGGAAGGTTTTGCTATAAGCTATTTGTTTTCTCTGCCTTTTGCATCTGCCTACATTTCCTGTTGCACACGGCTGGCAAAACTCAATAATTTCCAAGGGCATTTAGCAGCGGTGTTGCTATAGCCCTAGAGCTTATTTCCCATGAAAACAAACCAGGGTTGGGTGAAAGGTGTTTCTATTTACATGTAAGTTGGCTAGGAGGAGGGGACATCATTGCTCAAGCCAGGGAAGAAAAGGACGGCAGGGTAAGGGAGCTGAGCAACCCCAGACAAAATGAAAAAAAAGAAGAAAAAAGGTCCGCCAGGGCAGTGGGCAGGAAAGCATCTCTGGACATGAGCACGCTCTCCTGCCTCTAAGCAAGACAGATGCATCTGAACTGTTTGCTAATGTTTGCATGCTATTTCTCAAATAAAAGGCTCCAGTTAGACTCTGAACCAGTTTTGTGCAGAAGAAAACCTTGCAGACCCTTGCAATGGAAAGCAAGCCAGCATGTGGCTGCATTAGGATTCCATGGTTATGAGAATGAGCCAAGGTTCCCTTGGCTTTGCACTCCTTCTCCTGGTGCTCCTCCAGTTTGGCTATGAATTGATCAGGAATGGCCACAAACCTTTCTCCTACTCCAAGGTTCCTTCAAAATAGGCTACCAGTATGTAGGCAGCCCTGTACTACCTGTGTTACTAAACATAATTAAACTCCTCCCCAAACCAGTTGCCATGTCAGAATAAGATGAATTATTCACCCTAGATCCTGGTCATACCCAGGATTTTATTTTGAGAAATCACTACTGCAAAGAAAACCCACTTTTACTTCTTTTTATAAAGATAATAGCACAACAGTACTAAATGCAAGGCTTAAACATTCACAAATTCATACCCTTACTGCATTCAACATCATCTTACGTTAAGGGGTCTAAAACTAAAATCCTGTCACATTGCCCATAAGCCCCAAAGCTCAGAGGCTTGGAATCCCTCTCTGTAGATTGTGAAGACTAATGGAGGCAATCTTTGCCTTCCAGTGGGCATAGCCTGTATTATGGCTAAATGGGCTTTTTTGCCATCTAGCTGTGATATCCTGCAGAGGAAGAAAACAGGCTGGAGAGCTTCAGCATGCCTCATGCCCCAGCCTTTCTGGTCTCCCCACTTCCCCTCCTCCTTCCTACCTACTGAGCACTTTTGCTTACCCCTCTCCCTTTCTCAACTTTGGAAAGCAGCCACTGTGCTTCCTTCCTTGTCAGCTGTGATGGGGAGAAAGAATAGAGCCCAGGTTCTCAGCTCTGAGGATCCTGGCAGTTCAGATCTCCAGCTCCAACCCTGGCTCTGGGAACCTGAAATATTCTATGGCCCCTCAGACAGTGTTTGGGGGTCACTGTATTGCCCCCTATGCAGAATGATAGCAATGTCCATCTCAAGTTATAATCAGCATGATGGTTACCTGGCTCATTCGGCAGGCAATTAAGCTGCAATAACCCTCCTTGAGGTAACTCTCAAATTCCCGTTTCCAGAATCCCCTTTATGAACTCTTTTAAGACTATTAAGCACATTTATTGTTTGCACTTTGTGCATTTTTGTTCACATTTCCAAGTCTCTGTTTCTATTTTAAATCAACACATATAAATAATAGTGTTGAATTTCAAACAGCTTTTCAAGATTGGTACTTGTAATTACAGACATATAAAAACATTTCAGAAACTCGTGACAAGTTACAGGAGTGTTTGTGACACAAGAATTAGTTCTCTGACTTCAGTCTGTGACTATGTCTCCTCAAAACACATCTATTCATGATCTGCAAAACTCCCCCTTATTTTCTTATCTAACAATGTCCTTGGCTTATCATCAACTGAATTATTTCACAGTTATGGTTGTTTTTGTGCTTGTTTTCACACTCCTTTGAGGAAGATGTTACTATAAGCCTAATATGGGTGCAAAACTAGGTTCCTACTGCCTGGAGTCCTTTTTTTTTATCAGTAAAGACAACTTTAATCATTAGCATGTCAAGAAGACAAATTATGCTTCATGAGCTCTGGGGATTGCATTTATTAATTCAGAATTTTCTTGGAGGCATTTCAGTTTTGAATTTCCTAATTTTGCAACAGGAGTAAGGTGGTACAAATATGAAGTTTGCCTGATTAGCCACACATATTGCCTGAACAGTTATTCGTAGCTAATCTTAACTCTGACTGGTAAGGAAAAACAGCTTCATTAACTATGATTTGAAGTCGGCTTCCTCCCACTAACCATAGTTAAGTTTAACCACTATCTGATTCAAAATGAAAGTGAAAGTTTCCCTATTCTTTCCCTCTTAGCTGGGCTGGAGGATAGCGGAGGCAAGCCTATTCAATGCTGAAGCGGGGCTACCACTGGGCACCCACTTTGAATGGGAAATCTGCTGGATTCCCTGGTTTTCAGCTTCCCGGATTCAGGTCTGCTTTGCAGCAGCCCAGAGTCCAGGTTCCTGCAAGCACAGCCCAGATTTCCAGTGTGCTCAGCAAAACTCAAGCCACATGTGCTGCTTAGGTAGCACCATAATTGGCTACCTAGGAATGGGGGCTGGTGCCCCATCCCTTTTTCCAGCATGTTGCTGGTGGTGCCAGTGGCAGCAAATGGGGAGGGAGGTTGGCCACCAGGAATGACAGCTGAGGAGAGTTCCCAGTTGTGCAATTGGAGGTTTGTAAATACCCATGGACTTCTTCTGGGCTTGGCTCTATTCCTTAGACAGGGACAATCACCAGAAGAAGTCCAAGGGAGGGGTGTGAACTGGGTTCCAGAGAGAATCGGCACATCCCTCTACTGGATGCCTCCCCAGACCTGGAACCCCTCTGAATGAAGAGTTGCGCAGGCTATTTCCTTCTTGGTCGGTTGACAAGCCTATTGGTCCTACTTCTGATACCGAAGGTACAAAACAACTCCAAACTGGAGGTAGCAAATGCCATTCTAAGTGCGCAACAGGGAGGCCAACTGGCCGCCATTGCCAAATGTCTCCTTTAATTAACTCTGCACAACATGCAAATGGAGAGCATCTTTGCCCTTCCGCAGATAATGACTCAACGTCCCAGCCACAATGACAACTCTGAACCCTTTTCCAGAGTTAATGGAAGTGTTCCGACGCTGGTGTCTTTGATGGAAGTCCGCCAGTGTGTGTGTGTTGCTGGTAAGCATACAAAACATGTTTACCCTTCCTTAGAACTTCCACTCTCTGCATGCCTCAAACCTCTAATCAACCTCATTAAGCATTTTAGCCTGGGAAAATGCAGGCCCTGCTGTGCAACAGCTGCCCACTTGGCTGATGGCTTTCTGAAGCCCAGAACAGCTACTCTTTACGCCCTGGCATTAGCAAACCCCTTTTGGTTGCCCGGAAAGCGGGTGGGGAGGGCATGAGAGCAGATCACGAGCCAAACCAAATGTGCTTCTCTTTCTCAGTATAAAATCCTGCAGGAAGCCAAGAAATAGATTTCACCTGCCTTTGGTAAAACAAAGCAAGATCTTTTTATTCTTGTTGGAACAAGCCTGGTAGCACCTTGAGATTAACACATTTCTCCTGGCATTTAATAGACAGGAGGCATGAGGTGTTTTAACTTCACATTGGCAGATTTGCATATACACGCCTGGAGTGAATGTAAACTGTATGGTCAGAAGGGGGACGAGATGCCAAAAATATAGATATGTGATTACCTTAAAGTGTTGCTGTTCCTAAAGCATTATTGAAAGGATTTCAGGGAATAGATACTAATGTGAAATTGCTCAAATAAAAGAGATTCAATCCTGTTTCTTGTGCTTTGAATAAGGACAATGATATCTTTGTTTTTAGGATCGGGGGCTGGGGCATGTTCAGCTTAGAAAAATGGTAGGGGAGTCATGATAGAGATGGGAGTACAGAGGGAGACCTTCCTCTCCCTCTCCCATAACACTTGAACCCAGGATCATCCCATGAAGCTGATTGGTGGAGGTTTAGGACAGATAAATGGAAGGACTTCGTTATAGTTAAACTGTGGAATTTGCTGCTATGGAAAGTGGTGATGGCTGCCAATCTGGATGACTTTCAAAGGGGACTGGACAGATCCATGAGGGAGGAGGCTATCAGTGACCTTGCTGGCCAACTGCTTCTGCCTTCATGAAGGGTGGCCTGCCTGCATCCACCATTGCTGAGGAGCTTGGGCAGGAGGAGGCCTTGCACCCATCCTGCTTGAGGGATCCTGTGGGCAGCTGGCTTGCCAGTCTGTGTACACAGCACTGGACTTAATGGACCTTTGGTCTGATCCAGCATGACCTTTCTTATCTTCTTAGTCATACCATGTAGGTTCATCAACACATCATTACAATTAATGTGTTTTTATTTCAAGAGCAATTAAAAACATAAGAAGACCAAGGTCCACCTAGCATAGCATTCTGTTCACATTGGCCAAGGAGCTACCCACAGGTTACCCACAAGCAGAGGAGGGTGATGTGGGAGGATTGCAACACCTC